CCTGCGGTGCCCCCGGCAGGTACATTCCACCTGACCTTGCCTCCGTAGCCCGCTCCCTTCATTACTCTCAGCAAATGGCCGCAGGCCTGCAGCCCGCAGCCCGCACCTGACCGCACCCTGGGCCTCCTCCTGAGCCGGAAGGGCTGCGGGCAGAGCCTGCGATGGTGCCTCAGGCCTGGGCCGCTGGCGGTGCCGCCCCTCACAAGCCGCTCGGTGTCTGGCCTCCGGGTCTGCCCAGGGGGGTCTTCCCGCCGGAATGTTTTCTCACCCGCAGCCTCCACCGGACAACGCGCCCGTTTTCCAGGCTGAGCGTGGGCACTGCGCAGGTGCCCAGACCGATGCGGTGCCTGTGGTCCCTCCACCCTGCTCTCTGCCCTCCTTGAGCTCTCTCACCGGGACCTGCCTGAGCCCCTCGCCGGGTTGGAGGAGCCCGAGCCACCGCCCAGCCCCGCAGGCACGGCCTGGTGCACACTGCTCCGTACACGTGTGTCACATGGCTCCATTGGTTGGAGCATCATCCTGGGCACCGGAAGGTTGTAGGTTCGATTCCTGGTCAGGGCACGTACCTAGTGGTGGGTTTGATCCCTAGTCTGGGTACACTTAAGAGGTGTACCCAGGATTGTGACAGAGACCCAATGTGACAGAGACACAAGGATTGCTGTGTCTCTGTCACATTGATGTCTCTCTCTCCCCCATTGTCCCCCTCTGAAAATCAATTTAAAAGTCTGTAATATGGATGGATCCGTATACAAATAGGTAACGGGGTGGGCAGGCGTGTGAGCAGTGAGAGATGGAAGAAGGGACGGTGGCTGGCGGACTCACTCGCCCGGCAGGCACAGGGGCGCCGTGGGTGGAGTCAGCACACGGCACACCCTGCCCAGGGAGCAGGGGCTGTCCTGGGAAACCCCACTGGCTGCCCTAGAGACCTCCGCAGCTTCCCATTCTGAGAGCAGCACCGGCACTCCGCAGACCACGGAGGAGGAAGAGGCTCTGGGAGGAAGGGAAGGCCATGGCAGAGGGGGCTGGGCACCGGGGAGAGGCAGGGTGGGCGGGGAGCTGAGCTCAGGCTGGGTGGGGGAGACTGGGGAAGAAGAAGCTCACCGTGCTGCTGGCTCAGGGTGTGATGGCAGAGGGGCCACCTCAGCCCCAGGGTCCCATGTCTGGACTTGCTTCCTCCCTTTGCCCAGGCCCTCACCCGACAGGAAGTGCCCGGGCAGGTGGGTGGAGCCCGCGGGAGTGGCCCTCTGGGAGAGGGCACAGGGCTGGAGAGCCGCAGTGGCCCGGGCTGTGCGCCCCCGTGTGGCCTGCACCTGGCGGCAGCGGCCTGGGCAGCTCCCAGGAGCAGGGGGAGGCGCTGCTGGCCGGCAACTGCTGGCCGGGGAAGGGAGGGGAGCAGGACTCCGGCAGAAGGGTTTCTGGTCCTGTGAGCCCCTCCATCACATGCAGGAGACCGAGGCGGCTTTGCCCAAGGCCACCCCGAAAGCTGGCTCAGGACCACCCCGAACGCAGTGCCCGCTTCTGCACAGTCTTCTGCCCCCGTCCAGCCAAGGGGCTGAGCTGCAGTAAGACACAAACTTCTCCACGCTGTCAGCACAGGGACATGATCTGCCACCCAAGGATATGGCTCAGTGGATAGAGCGTCGGCCTGCAGACTGAAGGGTCCCGGGTTTGATTCCGATCAAGGGCATGTACCTTGGTTGAGGGCACATCCCCAGTAGGGGATGTGCAGGAGGCAGCTGGTTGATGTTTCTCTCTCATTGATGTTTCTAGCTCTCTATCCCTCTCCCTTCCTCTCTGTAAAAAAGTCAATAAAATATAAGAAAAGAAAACCATAGAGTGTAGTGATTTAAAAGCCTGGCATGGGGCCTGAGTGCCTGGGCATGGGTTCCGCTCTGCCATTGGCAGCTGTGTGATCTGGAATGAGTGATTTAACAGCTCCAGCCTCAGTTTCCTCATCTGGAATACAGTGCCTCCTCGTGGCCTGTGTTGATGAGGGTGAGTTCATGTATGCGTTTGCATATGGGAGTAGGTGTGAGCTCATGTGTGAGTGTGCGTGAGTGTGAGGGCGTGGGTGCACAGCAGTGTGTGTGAGAGTTAATTGGCGAGCAGATGAGTGTGTGCGGTGCGCTGTGTGAAACGAACACACACGAGCATGTGCTGGGGGTACAGGGAGGAGAGAGAGTGTGAGGGTGTGTGCGCGGTGTGGGGTGGGAGCGTTTTCCACATGCAGGTGTGTGTGTTACACGGGAGGCTCTGTGAGGCGTGTGTGTGCCTGTGTCAGGGGCTCCGGAGCCTCTGCAGGACAGGTCCAGGCTGAGAGGCTGGGTTTGGGCTCCGACGCTGGTTTTTCCAAGAGTGACTTCACCGTCACGTCCTCCTGGCCCAGCTGGTCCCTCGGGGGTGGGGATGGAGGTGGGGGAGCCCGATGGCTGCGGGGGGGACCAGTGGGCACAGGGGTGAAATAAAGACCGAATTAACTCAGCCCCACAGCTCCAGCTCCTGACGCAGGACCGCCCTGCCCGCCCCTCCCTGTCCGCTTCCTTCTCACCGGAGTCACCCCTCAGCCCCAGCCCCAGCCTGTCCACCTGCAGGGCGGGGCCGGCTCGCTGTGGCCTCTCCTTTCCCATGAGCCTGGGTGGCTCAGGGCCCACGGAGAGCCTGCGTGGGCCCTCACCGTGTTAGCGAGCACGGCGCTTCCTTCCCTGCCAGGCGGCGAGGCGTGCGGGGGACGCCAGGGGGCGAGGCCGGTGCGGGGGACGCCAGGGGGCGAGGCCGGTGCGGGGGACGCTGGGCAGCGAGGCCATGTGGGGGACGCAGCTGTGGTCCCGCTGGGCAGGGTCGCCCACAGGCAGGCACTGGCCGTGGCCCGGCCCAGGGACCGGGAGCTCTCCCTCCTTGTCAGAGGGAGCTCAGCAGGAGCTGCCACAGGGATTGGCGTTTGCCATGAATTTTTAAAAGAGGATTTACATAATCTTTACAAGATTGAATTTGGTAAGAACCTATACTTATTGTGTAGAAACACTAACTGAGTTTCCTGTTTTGGGCACCCTGATGTTCCAGAACCTAGCTCAGTGCTTGGCACTTCGTAGGTGTACAAATGCCTGCTGGCTCCAGGCACCATGACCGGTTCTGCCTTCGCAGAAGGCGGTGCGGCCGCGATTCCGAGAGGACATGGTGGCGGTCCCCGGGCGGACATGGTGGCGGTGGTCCCCTCCCCGGGGGACACAGTGGTGGCGGTCCCCAGAGGACACGGTGGTGGCGGTCCCCTCCCCGGTGGCGGCGGTCTCCTCCCCGGAGGACACGGTGGCGGCGGTCCCCTCCCCGGGGGACACGGTGGCGGCGGTCCCCTCCCCGGGGGACACGGTGGCGGCGGTCCCCTCCCCGGGGGACACGGTGGAGCGGTCTCCTCCCCGGGGGACACGGTGGCAGCGGTCCCCTCTCCGGGGGACACGGTGGAGCGGTCTCCTCCTCGGAGGACACGGTGGAGCGGTCTCCTCTCAGGAGGACACGGTGGCGGCGGTCCCCTCCCCGGGGGACACGGTGGCGGCGGTCTCCTTCCCGGGGGACACGGTGGTGGCAGTCTCCTCTTTGGAGGACACGGTGGAGTGGTCTCCTCCCCGGGGGACACGGTGGCGGCGGTCCCCTCCCCGGGGGACACGGTGGCGGTGGTCTCCTCCCCGGAGGACACAGTGGCGGCGGTCCCCTCCCCGGGGGACACGGTGGCGGCGGTCCCCTCCCCGGGGGACACGGTGGCGGTGATCTCCTCCCCGGAGGACACAGTGGCGGTGGTCTCCTCCCCGGGGACACGGTGGTGGCGGTCCCCTCCCCAGGGGACACGGTGGCAGCGGTCTCCTCCCCGGGGGACCTGGTGGCGGAAGCAGACACTGGGTTAAGCGGGCACTACCTTGATCCTGACGTTTCCTTTCTGCAGTTTAGAATCATTTTTTCATCAGGTTTCTGATAGACCCTCCCTTCCCCCAGCTGGTGGGCGGAGATGACGTGACCTGCGGCCTGGATGTACCTGAGCACCTGACCAGGCACCTTATACGGACTGTGCATTGAACCACCATCAGCCGCTGCCAGATGCCTAAGCCCTGCCCCTGAGGACCGCACATGAAGCCGCCAATCAGCGCATGCTCAGCACTCTAAGCCCCATCACCCCTCCCCCCTCCAGAGGCGCGTTACTCCGCATGGGCTGCTGCTCTCCCCTGCGAGGCAGACCTTTCCCTGGTAAAGCCTGCACCCTGGTTTTCGGCTCCCGATTGGTTTCTGTTCCAGCCATCCCCGAGGAAGCGCTCACAGGCCTGTGGACAGAGGACACAGGAGCCGTCCCTGCCTGACCGCCACAGCGGCCTCCTGGACAGGGTTCTCCTGGGAGCCCGGGGCAGCCCAGGCCTCCCTCCAGGGGCTCTGCCCTCGCCGCTGCCCGCTCTCCCTGTGCCCTCAGTGAGCCCTCCAGGTGCCCGGCCTGGGCTGGGGCTCTGCTGAGCCTCCCCCTGCCCTTTCCTTCCACCCTGCTGTCCACGCAGCGGCCAGAGAGGCCAGGCTGCTCCTGGGGGTGTGGTCGGCCCGCACGTGGGCCGGAGCGGGGCGGCGCCGCCTTCTCTGGAAGTCCCCGCGGTGTGCGCTCCGAGGGTGTGTTTCAAGTGAGGTCTGATGGGAAAATGGAGCATGCACCCTCCCCCTCCTGCCCTTATCTTTTCCGTCTCCATGGTGACTCACCACTGCCTGCTGCCTGCATCCCAGCCTCTGCCAGGGACTCAGAGCCCGGCCGTCCCTCCCTCCGCTGGGCCTGTTCCCGCACCTGCCTCCTCCCCGGCGAGTCCAGAGACAGCTCCTCTTCCCACCGACCTCACATCCAGTTCTCAGCTCTGGCGTGGCTCCTCAAGCACCCCCTCCGCCCTCCGCCGGCCTGGCGCAGCCCATCCATCCCCACGCGGCTCACCGTCTCTCTGGGCCTCCGCCCTCGGCCTCCGGACCAGCCCCAGGCCCAGCCGCCCATGCCCAGGCCCGCCTTCTCAGTCATTTCCTTTTGTCACCGGTTTGGCAAACAGGCAAGTCCTCTCCTAAGACATGGGGGAAGGAGTGGGGCGGGATGGGGCTCCCTGGAGACGGGGTGGAGCGCAGGGGGCGATGGCGAGGCCGTGAAAACCCCGGAGGGACAGGGACCTGGGTGCTTCTCTGGATAACGGTTCTGTTGTTACTTCCCCGCCAAACTCCTCGCCAAGGAGAGAAAGCAGAGCCTCATGGGAAACAGCGGCAACAGTTGGTAAGCGGTGGGCCTGCTGGTGGGGGTGCGGGCCTGGGCCGGCTGTCCGGGCGGGAGCTCTGGGTTGGACCTGCCGGATCCGGAGCAGGTGCTGCCGGAAATGGCGGTGCTGCAGGGAGGCGATTGGAGCTCCAGAAGGGGAGTGTGGGGAGCCTGAGAACCAGCCCTCACCCCACCATGGCGGCTCCTCCCTAGGAGTCCCCCTCGGGGGTCAGGAGGCTGCAGAGGGCTCACTCCTGAGGCGGCCCTGACTCCTCCCTGGAGCCCAAGCGCTAGGTGGGGTGCAGGCGCTAGGTGGGGTGGGGTGCAGGCACTAGGTGGGGTGGGGTGCAGGCACTGGGTGGGGTGGGGTGCAGGCGCTGGGTGGGGTGGGGTGCAGGCGCTGGGTGGGGTGGGGTGCAGGCACTTATGGGGTGCAGGTCCTGGGAGAGGTGGGGTGCAGATGATGGGTGGGGTGCAGGCGCTGGAAGGGGTGGGGTGCAGATGATGGGTGGGGTGCAGGCACTGATGGGGTGCAGGTGTTGGGAGGGGTGGGGTGCAGATGATGGGTGGGGTGCAGGTGCTGGATGGGGTGCAGGTGCTGCTGGGGTACAGGCACTGATGGGGTGCAGGTGCTGGGTGGGGTGCAGGAGCAGTGCCCAGAGCACCATCGCATCAGCTCACTCCGATGGCCCCAGTGGCCAGCGCTGTCGCCTGCTGGACGATGCGGGAGCAGCCGGATGGGGGTGGGAATTGGGGGTGATGGGGGGGGTTGCCCTGCCCAGGGGGCACTCGGCCTGGCAGAGCCAAGCTCTCACCCTCAGGCCGCTCTGCTGCCCGCGGTCCTGACCCTGAGTCCCCGCTCCCCATGCGGCTCTCAGATGACCCATCTGCACCCCCCAGGTCCCTCACGCCGCCCCCCAGGCTGAAGCGGGGCCTGGAGTCCGGGCCCAGGGAGCCCCGGGAGCCGCCCGCCTGCGCCCTCTGCCCGGAGAGGCCCCCGCGGGACCGGTGCCCCCCGCGCCGCAGGGGCCGGCGGAGGGGCCTGCGGGGCCTGGAGGAGAAGATGGGGCGCCTGCTGCGGAGGCCGCCGCCCGCCCTGCAGGTCGGGCGCGGGGCCTGCGGCCTGTTCCTGGGTCGGTGCGAAGTGGGGGATGGATGCGCTCAGCGGGGGGTCCGCTCCGGGGGTCCGCTCTGGGGGGAGTGGTTCCTCTCCGGGGTCCGCTCCGGGGGGATCCGCTCCGGGGTCCTCTCGGGTGTCCTCTCCGGGGTCCGCTCTAGGGGGGGGGTCCTCTCGGGTGTCCTCTCCGGGGTCCTCTCGGGGGTCCGCTCCGGTGTCCTCTCTGGGGGTTCCGCTCCGGGGTCCTCTCGGGGGTCCGCTCCGGGGTGGGGGTCCGCTCCGGGGGGGGGTCCGCTCCGGTGTCCTCTCCGGGGGTCCGCTCCGGGCCCCTCCGCCTCGGGCACTGACCGGCCTCTCCGCAGGAGCGCGGCGCGGGGCCGGAGCCGCTGCTGCTGGCGCGCGTGGGCGCGGCGGGCGGCCCGCTGCTGAGGATGGGCGCCGTGAGCCGCGGCCTGAAGCACCCGCTGGCCCGCGACAGGCCCGTCTGCCTGCTCGCCGTGCTGGGCGCGCCGCGCCCCGGGAAGGCCCTGCTCCTCCGCCGCCTGCTGCAGGCGCTGTCCGGCCTGGTGGGCGCGGGGCCGGGGCCGGGGGCTGGGGCTGGGGGCGGGGGTGGGCGCGGGGCCAGGGGGCTGGGGGGCCCGGGAGCGGGGGGCGGGGGGCGCGGGGCCGGGGGGGCCAGGACAGGGAACCAGGGGGCCATGACAGGGGGCCGGGGGGCGGGGGGCGTGGGGCCTGGGGGCCTGGGGGTTAGGGTCGCGGCTTCGGGCGGAGCGGCTGGGCGCGCCCTGACGCCCTCCTCTGCCGGCAGGAGGCAGAGGGCTGGCCCAGCGGAGGGGGCGCCCTGCCGGGGTGCAGATGGGGCGCCGACAGCCCGGACAGGGGCGTGCGCATGTGGAGCCAGCCCTTCCTGCTGGGGAAGGAGGGCCAGCAGGTGAGGGAGGCCTGGGGGTCCGGGAGGGGAGGGGAGGGAAAAGGAGGGGAGGGGAAAGGGGAGATGGGGTGCAGGCGCTGGGTGGGGTGCAGGCGTTGGGAGGAAGGGAGGCAGGCTGCCCTCGGTCTGACCCCGGCACAGGTGGCTGTGTTTCTGGTGGACACTGGGGACGCCATGAGCCCGGAGCTGAGCCCGGAGACCAGGACCAAGCTGTGCGCCCTCATCATGATGCTGAGCTCCTACCAGGTGAGGCGCGGAGCCCGGGCCCTGGCACCCCGCTGGGTCCGGCCCTCAGAGCCGGGCCCGTCACAGAGCCAGGCTTTGTGCACAGGGTCTCTGCGGATTCGGGGGTGCCCTGCCAGGAAAGGATGCCCCCCATTGGTGAAGGTGGAGCATTGCTTGTTCTGAAGGAGGCTGAAGTCCTGGGCAGTTGCAGTCCAGGGTCATCGTGCCTGCCTCCCATCTCCCGCCCCCAGGCTGCGCAGACCCCCAGGCTGGGCCTCCAAGGCCCCGAGACCCACAGCCAGACCGGGGACTCCCCCTCCAGGGACCTCCCTGGCCCTCTGCCCTCGCAGACCCTCTCCCATGTGTCCCCTGTTCCAGATCCTCCACACGTCCCGGGAGCTGGAGGACACAGACCTCGAATACCTGGAGGTGAGGTCACACCGGTGTTGGGTGCTGCCGCCCCTGCCCGCCATGAGGCTAGAGGGCTGGGCCAGCCGGAACCAGGCGCCTCCAGTTCTGACCTGGCCTCCCAGGGTCTGCAGGCGTGGCGGGTTCGAGGCAGAGGAGGAAGCCCGAGACAGCTGGTGGGAGGGGGGAGGCTGGGAGCGTGCTGTGGGCCCCGGGGACGGAGACGCGGACCTGGCGTGGCCCAGCTGTGCCCTCGTTGCCTCTAGATGTTTGTCCACGTGGCTGAGGTGATGGGCAGGCACTACGGGATGGTGCCCATCCAGGTGAGACCCGCTCTGGACTCGTCACGCAGCCCCGGGCCCGCGGGCTGCTGGTGTCAGGAGCCCTTCTCTTCCAGCGCCTGGACCTCCTCGTCCGAGACTCACCCCACCCCAGCCCGGCCGGGCGGGGGCCCGTGGGGGACGCCCTCCGGGTGAGTGCGGAGGGAGGGGTGTGGGGTGGCGGCAGAGGCGAGGGTCCCGCATGGCAGCCAGGGCGGGGGCCGGACCCCGGCACAGCCATGCCCTCCGTCTCTCAGAAATCTGGCAAATACCCCCGGGTCTGGGAGCTGCTGCGAGGGAGGCAGGCCCGCCGCTGCCTCCTGCCTGCGCTGAGGCCACCACGGGCCGGCAGGGACTGCGGGAGCCCGGGCGGTGAGTGTCCCGGCGGCGGCAGAGGCCCCAGCTGCCCTCCTCGTGACCGGCCCCCTCACTGCCTCGGAGCCCCCTCCTCCTGCAGCCCGTCCTCAGCGAGCGTCCCCGCAGGCCCAGAGGACGCCGCCTGCCCGTTGCGGGCCTACGTCGCCAAGGTGCTGAGCGCAGCCCCCCAGCTCGCCAAGAGCCGCAGCCAGGGCTACGGGAGCCAGGGGCGCCCCGCGGCCCGGGGGGACGGGCACCTGCTCACCGGGCAGCAGCTGGCTCAGGAAATCAAGGTGCGACATCTCCCCAAAGACCGGGACAGGCCCGCCCGCCCTCCCTGACGCCCTCATATTCCCCGTATTTCCCAGAACCTCTCGGGCTGGATGGGGCGGCCGGGGCCCGGCTTTGGCTCTCCGGAGGAGGTACGGAGCTCCCTGGGGGCCGGGGGTGGGGGGGGGTGGGCGGAGGAAGGAGAGGCAGCTGGCCTTCCTGTGGACAGATGGCCGCCCAGCTGCAGGACCTGCGGACGCTGGAGGCCGCCAAGCAGGAGTTCAAGGAGTTCGTGCGGCAGCAGGTGAGGCAGCCTGGGGGGGTGGGGGGTGGGGTAAGGGGGCGCGGGGGGACGGGTGTCCCCGGAGGCGGGCCCTGGGGAGGCTCTCAGGTCCGCTGCTCAGGGAGCCCTCTCTCCCCACAGGACGCAGCCACCAAGCGCATCTTCTCGGCGCTCCGGGTGCTGCCGGACACCATGAGGAGCCTGCTGTCCGCGCAGAAGGACGCCGTCCTGGCTCGCCACGCCGCGGCCCTGCGGAGCCCGGGGAGGGCGCGGGCCCTGGAGGCGCTGGAGGCCGAGCTGCAGGCCCAGGCCCGCGCCTTCATGGACGCCTACACCGTGCGCTTCTGCGGGCACCTGGCCGCCGTGGGCGGGGCCCTGGGCGCCGGGCTCATGGGCCTGGCGGGCGGCGTGGTGGGCGCGGGCATGGCCGCGGCGGCGCTGGCCGCGGAGGCCGGGATGGTGGCTGCCGGAGCCGCGGTGGGGGCCACGGGGGCCGCCGTGGTGGGGGGTGGCGTGGGCGCGGGGCTGGCTGCCGCCCTGGGCTGCCTGGAGGGGGAGGAGGAGGAGCGGCTGCAGGAGGGGGACCGAGAGCCGCTGCTCGGGGTGGAGTGACGGGCCCAGCAGACAGGAAGAGGCGGGAGGGAGGAGGCGGGAGGGAAGGGGTTCCCAGGACCCCCGTGTCCCACCCCGCCTGAGGGAGTGCCAGATCCGGGTGGCTGGCTGAGCTGAAGAACCCGGGGCCCGGGAGGGGTCCAGGGGCAGGAGCAGGGTGGGTGGTAAGCCGGATGCAGGGCTGTTTCGGTTGCAGCATTGCTCACTGGCCATTGGCCCAGATAAGCCTGCCCCGTGTCCGCACGCTGTTTGCTCTGGTTAACCCCGGCGGCAGGAAGCTGCGGGAGCTGGACCGCGGAGGGTGGGGGGAGGGCTTGTCCTTTCAGATGGGGCAGCCTGGTTCAGTGACCTTGGTGATCAGTATCGGGGAGCACTGAAGGGGGGGTGGGGAGGAGAGGGCAGGGAGGCCCCGTGTCGGGGCAGTGGAGAAGCCTGTCCCGGGCCTGCTCCAAGCTGCCAGCAGGACCGGGGGTGTCCCCACTCCTGACCCCCGGGGCGTCGGCAGCGGGCCTGGAGCGAGGCCTCGGGGTGTGCCCTGTCCATGCCGGTCAGGTGCCGCGTGTGGATGCCAGGCTGATGGACCCCCGAGACCACATCCGCGCTGGACAGATGGCCGGGAGCCTCTGCGAGTCCTCACGCTCCGGCCAGGAGCACGCCTCTCCTTGCCCACGGCCTTGGGAGGACCCTCTGCTCTGTGCCAGCAGGAGGCCTGGTGCAGCCCCACGGGAGCCCAAGGGCCCGCCCCCGGGGCCAGGAGGTCCCACAGGAAGACTTGCTTCTGAGTGTAAAAAGCCGAGGGGCACGTTATGCACAAATAAAACGTGTGCTTGAACGTTCGCTTCCCAGCCAGTCAGAGAAACTGCTCTTCAGCCCCAGGGGCTGGGGCAGGAGGAGTGACCCGAGCTCCATTCGGGACTCCTGGGCGGGAGGAGGCGCATGGACGTGAGAGATGTGGGCGCTGCCTGTCCCAGGCCGCACAGGGAGGGGGGCTGTGGGGGGCTCAGGCCGCAGACCTGTCCGCTCCCTGGCTCTCTGCTCCGGTGGCCTGTGATCGGTGGCCGCCGCCTGTCCTGGCAGGGAGGTGAGGGACTGTGGGAAGTCCTTGCTAACGCGGTGGAGGGAGGGGGGCCCAGGCCACTGCTGTGGGGCCAGGCCGGTCAGAGTCGCCGCCAGGGTCCGGACCCGCCTTTCACAGGTGCAAAGGCAGAGAGAGAAGTTTCAGCCGAGGCTCCCCGGCTGCTGGCAGCAAAGCAGGGCCCCCTCCAGCTCTCCCCCAAAAGCCTGACCCCCGCTGGCTTCCTCACGGCCGCAGCCCGGGTGCTGGCATTGAGATGCTCCTCTGGTGATCTGCCCCCACCCCAGCCCGGCTCTAAGAGGCGGTGGTGTGTGTGTGTGTGTGTGTGTGTGTGTGTGTATGGCAGAGGCAGAGGTCGCCGTGTGTCTGTGTGTGTGTGTGTGTGTGTGTGTGTGTGTGTGGCAGAGGCAGAGGTCGTGTGTGTGTGTGTGTGTGTGTGTGTGGCAGAGGCAGAGGTCGCTGTGTGTGTGTGTGTGTGTGTGTGTGTGTGTGGCAGAGGCAGAGGTTGCTGTGTGTGTGTGTGTGTGTGTGTGGCAGAGGCAGAGGTTGCTGTGTGTGTGTGTGTGTGTGTGTGTGGCAGAGGCAGAGGTTGCTGTGTGTGTGTGTGTGTGTGTGTGTGTGTGTGGCAGAGGCAGAGATCGCCGTGTGTGTGTGTGTGTGTGTGTGTGTGTGTGGCAGAGGCAGAGGTTGCCGTGTGTGTGTGTGTGTGTGTGTGTGTGTGTGGCAGAGGCAGAGATCGCCGTGTGTGTGTGTGTGTGTGTGTGTGTGGCAGAGGCAGAGGTTGCCGTGTGTGTGTGTGTGTGTGTGTGTGTGGCAGAGGCAGAGGTCGCCGTGTGTGTGTGTGTGTGTGTGTGTGTGTGGCAGAGGCAGAGGTTGCCGTGTGTGTGTGTGTGTGTGTGTGTGTGTGTGTGGCAGAGGCAGAGATCGCCATGTCACTGTGTGTGTGTGTGTGTGTGTGTGTGTGTGTGTGTGGCAGAGGCAGAGGTCGCCGTGTGTGTGTGTGTGTGTGTGTGTGTGGCAGAGGCAGAGGTCGCCGTGTGTGTGTGTGTGTGTGTGTGTGTGGCAGAGGCAGAGGTTGCCGTGTGTGTGTGTGTGTGTGTGTGTGTGTGTGTGTGGCAGAGACAGAGGTCGCCGTGTATGTGTGTGTGTGTGTGTGTTTGTGTGGCAGAGGCAGAGGTCCCCGTGTGTGTGTGTGTGTGTGTGTGTGTGTGTGTGTGGCAGAGGCAGAGGTCGCCGTGTGTGTGTGTGTGTGTGTGTGTGTGTGTGTGGCAGAGGCAGAGGTTGCCGTGTGTGTGTGTGTGTGTGGCAGAGGCAGAGGTTGCCGTGTGTGTGTGTGTGTGTGTGTGTGTGTGTGTGTGTGTGGCAGAGACAGAGGTCGCCGTGTATGTGTGTGTGTGTGTGTGTTTGTGTGGCAGAGGCAGAGGTCCCCGTGTGTGTGTGTGTGTGTGTGTGTGTGTGTGTGTGTGGCAGAGGCAGAGGTCGCCGTGTGTGTGTGTGTGTGTGTGTGTGTGTGTGGCAGAGGCAGAGGTTGCCGTGTGTGTGTGTGTGTGTGGCAGAGGCAGAGGTCGCCGTGTGTGTGTGTGTGTGTGTGTGTATGGCAGAGACAGAGGTCGCCGTGTGTGTGTGTGTGTGTGTGTGTGTGTGTGTGTGGCAGAGGCAGAGGTCGCCGTGTGTGTGTGTGTGTGTGTGTGTGTGTGTGGCAGAGGCAGAGGTCGCCGTGTGTGTGTGTGTGTGTGTGTGTGTGTGTATGGCAGAGACAGAGTTCGCCGTGTATGTGTGTGTGTGTGCGTGTGTGGCAGAGGCAGAGATCGCCGTGTCACTGTGTGTGTGTGTGTGTGTGTGTGTGTGTGTGGCAGAGGCAGAGGTCGCCGTGTATGTGTGTGTGTGTGTGTGTGTGTGTGTGTGTGTGTGGCAGAGGCAGAGGTCACCGTGTGTGTGTGTGTGTTTGTTTGTGTGTGTGGCAGAGGCAGAGGTCGCCATGTGTGTGTGTGTGTGTGTGTGTGTGTGTGTGTGTGGCAGAGGCAGAGGTCGCCGTGTGTGTGTGTGTGTGTGTGTGTGTGTGTGTGTGTGGCAGAGGCAGAGGTCACCGTGTGTGTGTGTGTGTGTGTGTGTGTATGGCAGAGGCAGAGGTCGCCGTGTATGTGTTGTGTGTGTGTGTGTGTGGCAGAGGCAGAGGTCACCGTGTGTGTGTGTGTGTGTGTGTGTGTGTGGCAGAGGCAGAGGTTGCCGTGTGTGTGTGTGTGTGTGGCAGAGGCAGAGGTCGCCGTGTGTGTGTGTGTGTGTGTGTGTATGGCAGAGACAGAGGTCGCCGTGTATGTGTGTGTGTGTGCGTGTGTGTATGGCAGAGACAGAGGTCGCCGTGTGTGTGTGTGTGTGTGTGTGTGTGTGTGGCAGAGGCAGAGGTCGCCGTGTGTGTGTGTGTGTGTGTGTGTGTGTGTGGCAGAGGCAGAGGTCGCCGTGTGTGTGTGTGTGTGTGTGTGTGTATGGCAGAGACAGAGTTCGCCGTGTATGTGTGTGTGTGTGCGTGTGTGGCAGAGGCAGAGATCGCCGTGTCACTGTGTGTGTGTGTGTGTGTGTGTGTGTGTGGCAGAGGCAGAGGTCGCCGTGTATGTGTGTGTGTGTGTGTGTGTGTGTGTGTGTGTGTGTGGCAGAGGCAGAGGTCACCGTGTGTGTGTGTGTGTTTGTTTGTGTGTGTGGCAGAGGCAGAGGTCGCCATGTGTGTGTGTGTGTGTGTGTGTGTGTGTGTGTGTGTGGCAGAGGCAGAGGTCGCCGTGTGTGTGTGTGTGTGTGTGTGTGTGTGTGTGTGTGGCAGAGGCAGAGGTCACCGTGTGTGTGTGTGTGTGTGTGTGTGTATGGCAGAGGCAGAGGTCGCCGTGTGTGTGTGTGTGTGTGTGTGTGTGTGGCAGAGGCAGAGGTCACCGTGTGTGTGTGTGTGTGTGTGTGTGTGTGTGGCAGAGGCAGAGGTTGCCGTGTGTGTGTGTGTGTGTGTGTGTGTGTGGCAGAGGCAGAGGTCGCCCTGTGTGTGTGTGTGTGTGTGTGTGTGTGTGTGGCAGAGGCAGAGGTCACCGTGTGTGTGTGTGTGTGTGTGTGTGTGTGTGGCAGAGGCAGAGGTCGCCCTGTGTGTGTGTGTGTGTGTGTGTGTGTGTGTGGCAGAGGCAGAGGTCGCCGTGTGTGTGTGTGTGTGTGTGTGTGTGTGGCAGAGGCAGAGGTCACCGTGTGTGTGTGTGTGTGTGTGTGTGTGTGTGGCAGAGGCAGAGGTCACCGTGTGTGTGTGTGTGTGTGTGTGTGTGTGTGGCAGAGGCAGAGGTTGCCGTGTGTGTGTGTGTGTGTGTGTGTGTGGCAGAGGCAGAGGTCGCCGTGTATGTGTTGTGTGTGTGTGTGTGTGGCAGAGGCAGAGGTCACCGTGTGTGTGTGTGTGTGTGTGTGTGTGTGTGTGTGGCAGAGGCAGAGGTTGCCGTGTGTGTGTGTATGTGTCTGTGTGTGTGGCAGAGGCAGAGGTTGCCGTGTGTGTGTGTGTGTGTGTGTGTGTGGCAGAGGCAGAGGTTACCGTGTGTGTGTGTGTGTGTGTGTGTGTGTGTGTGGCAGAGGCAGAGGTCGCCGTGTGTGTGTGTGTGTGTGTGTGTGTGTGTGGCAGAGGCAGAGGTCGCCGTGTGTGTGTGTGTGTGTGTGTGTGTGTGTGTGTGTGGCAGAGGCAGAGGTCGCCGTGTGTGTGTGTGTGTGTGTGTGTGTGTGTATGGCAGAGGCAGAGGTCGCCGTGTGTGTGTGTGTGTGTGTGTGTGTGTGTGTGTGTGTGTGGCAGAGGCAGAGGTCGCCGTGTGTGTGTGTGTGTGTGTGTGTGTGTGTGTGTGTGGCAGAGGCAGAGGTCGCCGTGTCACTGTGTGTGTGTGTGTGTGGGGGGGGGCGCAGAGGCAGAGGTCGCGGTGGG